ATTTGGATTTGGAAATAACAAAAAGTCATTTAAATTCAAGAATGTAGAATCAAAGGACGGATTGCCTGTGGATGAGAACAACTCTAGTACCCCAGACTCTAGACAAAGCTATAGTGATACACAACTTGAGATATTTCACCATAGACATGGATTGCTAATCTTGCATCTTCTTTCACTCCTCATGTTTCTTCCTTCACTTGTTGCTTGGTTCGAGGTATAATTTAGTATCCACTATATTACAAATTTGGCCCCAAAAATTACAACTTCAGTCCAAATTTTCAGATCAAGTCTCTATGTTGTCCTTAGGTTTGCATTTTGTTGCGATATTTGGACTAAACCTGCAATTAAGAGTAAAACATATGGAACTCTCAAAGTCCATCTCCCGAGTATTTCCTCTTCCCATTTTAACCCTACGTACATGCTCATCAAAAGCTATTGGACAAATTAATATCACAAGTCATTTTAAACATATATAAATTGTCAGATTGAAAAAAAAAACAAAAAAAGATAAAATAAGAAAGTAATTCTTAGTTCTTACCCCTCTCGATAAAAATATCCGTGAGTGTCCCGTCTGCATGTTCTCGAAGCTCTTGCTTGCTCAGTGTTCTGTTCATATCTTTATCAAGTGCAAGGAACATATCTATAGTGTACATGAAAATATGATGAGGGTAGTTTCGTCCTTTTATATAGAATGAAAGAATCAAATTGTATTCCTTCCATCCTCTTCCTTCAAAGTGTATTCTGCCTATTTGGTATATAAATTTTTTTTCATTAAGTATATAGCGAGGGTATTTTGGTCTTTTGGAGACTGGAAAGGATATTCTTACCACATACATGCTGTGCAGATGTCATGGAAAACCAGTTTTCTACCTGTTCAGTATCTGTAACTTCTTCTTCACTTTCCTATCATCATTAAAGAAACATTTTTTTTTTCAAATTAACAAAAAATATTGAATGATTAATTAAAAAATATACAATTAAGGACAAAACTGAAATTACCTTGTGCAGTTCCATTAGCTCTTGAAGACATTTAATAAGCAGCACATTCTTTATGCTTGCCTTCCCTAAAAAATTATAGATAAATGAGATCACAAGAATAAAATGATAATCAAAAAACTATTTTTAGTTATTTGAAAAAAAAAGTATAACCAATAAACCTCGTCTATTGGGATCAAAAAAGAAGAAAAGTTTGGGTGCAACAATTCGGCAATACATTTGAACAAAAGCTCCAAGCATATCATGCAATTGAGCCAAATTAGGAATAAGACCTCGAATATAAGATTCCATTTCCTTTTAACAATATTATTAAGATTATAAACAAGAAAATATAAATGTTAACTAGATTAGTAGGGAAAAGAAAGTAATACATTTATTTGTTTTTGATAGTATCCTACTTTTATTTTCTTCTATTATAGCATTGTATTTTCTTTCTTTTTTGTATTAAAAAGTAGTGAAGAATGAAAAAGATGCTTGGCTTCTCAATCAGGGGTCGTATAGTCAATTAGTTATCCTAGTGATCAGATTCTTCTTTTCTAACAGCCTTAATCTGGCTAAATAGAAGGTTTATGATTGGGATAAATCTATAAATTCAAGGACATGTGGGTCCCTTTGTGTTTTATTTTATAAATCACAGGCTTATATCTAAGCTCACCAGAAGAAATTTAACTGTCAATCTTACATCTCCCATATTACTCCAAAGAAAAGATCATCTCTTTTCTCTTCCTCTCTTGATTACATTGGAAAAAAAACTATGATTTCTAGTACTCAGAAGGTATTCTTCTTTCTTACCAGTATTGGAATATTACCCGTTGAACCATATATGGTTTATGGATTCAGAAACATAGGCACTCGTCGCACACTCAAGGAAGTTTCCATGGAGGATCTTCAAGCAAAGCCATCACCTGTGGATTTGAAAGGCAAATTTGATTCATATCATTTAAATAAAAGACCAGTTCGAAGAGGGTCAGACCCCATCCACAACCGAAATTAATATTTCAAGATAGATTGCAGAAAAGAGAGACTTCAGAGGGAAGTCGTAAAACAAAAGCTTATATCCACTGATGATTTTTAATTAACCTACCTTTGGATCTATGAAGCTTGCACCAAACTCGTAGTTTATAGTTGGAATTTTTAATTACTTAAGCAGATTGAAAAGGGAGCTCCGTGGGTCCCATATCTCCCACTTCATATCCATGACCAGGCGATCCCAATCCTGATTCCTCCATTGATGACCTAACCTCGGTGGCCACTCTCCCATTTGCATCAAAATCATCAAACATCAAGAGCATTGAATCATAGGCAATATTGATTCTTTTGACTACATCTCTTGTCTCCGTTGTCCCTTCTTCTACTTGTGGAAATTACCAGCTAATGGAAATTGGCAACTCGATAACATAACAAAAGCCATCCGGAACAGTGGGGTGGTTAGAAAATTGATATCGAGATGGAATCAGACAAACAACAAAAGAAGGGAACAAGAACAACAATGACCAGGTACACCAAAGCACGAGTGCTAACACGCTTGGGAATGTGTATTTTTCTAATTTTTTGGGTTTCTAATCGGAGGTCGATAGATGTTTTCAGACTAAAATCAGAGATTAGAGAGCCGAAGAAGAGAGAATCATAGAAGTGTGAAGTGTGGATTGAGTTTTTAAGGTTCAATGGAGGTGGCGGTGGCGATGGATTAGGGTTTACAGAGAGAAGGAAGGAGTGAATGAAGGGAGATACTGAGGAGAGAGGATAGAAGCGGGGTTCTTCAAAATTTTAGAATTTTAAACGATTTTGTTTCCCCCCTTTAAAAACGCATGTTTAAGCAAAAAAATATAAAGCGACATTCGAAAAGGACACACATTTAAGATAAGCGCCCTCCGTATTTGTATGTTTTTTTTTCTTTTCTGACACTAATTTCAGGGCACGCACAAATGCGTGTCCTTTATCCTTCAAATTTTAGAAGAGATGACATAATTTTTAGGGTGCACTCTTTTGCGTATCGTAAATCACTGCATGTCATTGTTTGCGCGTTGTAAAAGGTTGTTTTTCTAGTAGTGTAACATCCTATTTCGGACCGTCTTTGATTTAGGGTATGTGGGGTACTTCACGGGCATGAGGAAGCCTTGAGGCTACAACGAGTTACTAGAAGCATAGGGCTTCTGCTACCTTTCCGTGGATATGAGGTTCATTGGAAATAGACTTATAATGAAGAAGCTATGATAGTTTGAAGTTTTGGCAAGTTTAGTCCCATATTTGACAAAATGTGGCAGCTGAGTATGCGGGGCGTATGCATGTGTGCGCTCAACGTACCCATGTGCATGATTTGGAAGCGGAGCCAGCTAGAATGTTAGGCGTACTGGGCACAGGGTGAAAACCCTAAATGAGGGGTGTGTCCCTATTTAAAGAACATAATGGCCTCATTTATGGCCACCATTTCTAGCCCTCAACTCTATGAAAACCCTAATTTTCCATCCCTTGATCTTGAGTGGCCATTTGTGAGCTTCTATGTGTTCTTGTGGGGTTCTTTGAGTGAAGAAGGAGCATTGAAGAGAATGGAGTTGGAGTCCAAGCTTTGGATCTAAGTTGTTATATGGTTAGAGCATCATTTTAAGGTATAAAGCTCAGAGATTTCACATCCTTTTTGATTTGTACATATTATGGTCCATTTTAGAGTTTTTGCTCAAAAAGCTTGAAGCTTTATGAGTTGTTATCAAAGCCTAATATTTGTCCCTTCGAGTGTTTCTAGTGGAGAGGATTCGCAAAAATGAGGTCTTGGACATTAAAACCACTTAATGCATGAGATATGCGCATTTTTGGGAGGAAAGAGTGAGCGTATTTGGGTTTGGGACTTTGTTAGCCATGCAAAGGCTTAAAGTCATGAACTTTATGGAGTATGAGCCTTTAGGAGTCTAGATCTGAGAGTATAGCTATGGTCTTAACGGGTTAAGACCAAGAGATTGGGAAAAGCAAGTCTGGAAGTACACTGAGTCTAATTCTAGTACGCCCCGCATACTAATCAAGTGTCTTCAATCAAAATTCATGTGTACGTTGAGCATACCAACGGAGGTACGTCCTGCGTAATCTTGTTGTGGGCTTTTTGGGCTAAATCTCACATTGGGCCTTAAGTGTTGGGCCTGGATTTTGGGCTTATTGTGCTTGAGATTTTGATGGGAGAAATATATGTATATGTGTTTGGCCTTTATGTTGGGCTTTCCCTTTAGACTTAAGTTTAAGATTTGGGCCTTGGGAGACCCCATTTAGTATTGGGCCTTGGTGGGCCCAATGGGCTTGGGTTATTTATAGGTCGGGTAGTGGGATACCTTTAGACCTAATGAGTGAGGGTTTAGTCTTTGACCTTAATTGGGTTAATTGTTGGTTTTGGCTCACTGTTAGAGGTTGTTGTGCAACAACAACATTTATAAGAGTTGTTCATCATTCGAGGTGAGTCTTCTCACTATATTTACCTTGAGTGGTAATGTTGTGTGACCGAAGGGTCTTGTGAGCATATATTGAGTATTTTGATATCTTGCATTATGTCTTTGTGATTTATGTTATGTATTATGCTCAACTTTACTGATTTAGGACCAGAGGGTCCACCCGAGTTATGGGAGCGGAGGGTTCCACTGAGACACATTGACCGGAGGGTCTTATTCGAGATATAGCCATGAGAGGCTAACGAGATATGTGTGGTATTTTAGGGAAATCACTAAGCTTTGTGCTTACCATGTTATGTGATATGTGTTTTAGGTACTTCTCAGGATCGCAGGAAGGCGTCGGCTTGATTGTACACACGAGATGGAGTTATGTTTTGTGGATCCTAGATTTTCATTCAATAATTTATGGATATGTGTTTTTGGATAATTTGATACTTTGGGGTTTTTATGAAATGTGTTAATGAGAATTATGAGATTTTAAAATGAAAAATTTGTTTGAAAATTTACGGTGTTATAAGTTGGTATCAGAGCCTTGGTTTGAGGGATTCGGATATACCTTCGGGTGTATCTGGACTCACACTGAGGATTTGAGAAAAAATTTCAAAAGAAATGATTTTTCAAAATGAGAAAGAGTTTTAAGAGAAAAACAAGTTGGAGAAGTGTGTAGAATCAGCCAGAGCCCGAACGGTGATTTCCCAAAATATCCTTACTTATTTGTGTTATGAGATATTCATGAGATATTAGGGATGCATACTAGAGGATAGGCTAGGTATTTCATATCTTAGGGCTAGAGTTGCTTGATTTGTGATGCCTTAGCCTAGGGAATGCTATTATTGATATTATCTGCTATTTGTTCGGTGTATGTGCTGAGTAAGAGTACCTAGCAAGAATCTTTTAGAGAGGGCTTGAGTAGAGGAGTAATCTAGGAGAGATACTTAGATGTTTATTTGAGGAATCTACTAAGAGAGTAGTGAGATACCCACGAGAGGTAGGGTTACCTGAGTTCGGTAACGCCTTTTAGAGTTGTGGATAGAGTGAGTGGAGTTGTATGCTAGAGTTGTTTTGCGTGTTGGTGGAGGTGATTCGATGCCCGAATATTTGCTGCTTTTGTGCTTTGTGAAACTCTTGATGATGGGAGACAGCTACTAAGTGAATATGACGATATTCAGGAGGTAGATGGTTGGCATCATGAGGAGCTCTTCAGCAGCTGATGGCAGAGAAGTGTGAGCATCTAGGAAGAGCCTAGGGAGTGATTTTAGTCGGATGAGTAAACTGAATATTTTCTGGAGACCAAACATGTGTAACGGGAATGGTGATCGAGCGCTGGAGAGCGAACTTGTGTAACAGGATTGGTGATCGAGAAGGTTAAGCACCTACTTGGGAAATCAGGGACGATCCATATGGAAAGTATGGGTAGATGTGGTATGTAGTATAGGCCCGTACTACTGAAAAAAGAGGAGCCATACTCGAAACATGGAGAATTCCTAAATAACAGGTTAAGGGGAGATAACATGGTTCGAGTACCATGATTCGCAGCAGAGTGTGTTTCTATCTTACCAGTTATCCAACGATGGGATTCATACTGAGAACGGATATGGTAAATTTGTAGGCCAGAGGTCCATGGCGGTTGAGCTTTGACAAAGTGTACCTTGAGAGGAAAATTGATTTTAGATCTCAATGAGTTTGACTGGTGAGCTATCAGTTGGAGTCGCGGGACATGAGGAAAAGTGGAGATGATACGTTGTGGAGGATTGCGATCTAGGTTGAGTGATCGTCCAATGATTGAAATGTCACTTTCTGTGACGAGAATTTCACTAGTTCTGATTCTTGTGTGGAGCGAAGGAGATAACTAGCTTCCGGTTC